GCAGAATAAGCTGATGAATAAGAAGTAAACTGAGAAATATTTTATTGCTTTGATATTCGTGAATGTAAGGTGTCTACAAATGATGGGGACTCCTCTTTATAAAGTAAAGGAGTCCTAATTATCGTATAACTCTAATTACAGAAGTAAATCCCATAATTAGCCTAAACAATCGCCATTGACTTGATCTGTTCCGGAATTTTCGCCGTGATACGGATATCTCGCATTTCCGTTATTGCACTTCGTTCGGAGTCTGTCATATATGGTCTCGATCATTGTTGGCCTCGATCTCGACGAGCACCTCGATTCTCGAGCTTGATACTTTATCTTAGTGCTCTGACCTGATCCAGTACGAGACTGACCCACGATGTGATTCCCTGGTCTTCGATTAAATGGCAGAATCGAACAAGTCCTATTTTACCCGTATACAATGATATTACTTAGAAAATCACAATGACAATGGAAGTACTATTCGTTCCCTAGAATCCAAGCAAAGCAAGCAATTATCGGATTATATGTTGCATCTTTTAGTAGTGTGTCCATTTATGGATGATCAGATCTAGAGATACATGTACTGAAGACAAAGAGTGTTTTTACATAGAGGAATATGGGAAAAGACAGCTATAGCATGTACAAAGCTGCTCATAGTGAACGCTGAGGTTGGACCAGCTAAAGTGAAAGGGGATAAGAGCAAGAGTTTGTTGTTCGACGCGTGCATACTTGCCAAATCATTACAAAAACAGGAGGTGCAGAAATGGAAAATCATCAGTGAAGTATGGGTGGAGATGCTTGCTTATGCTGCTACACATTGCAGAGGGAACAATAAAGGAGGAGAGCTTCTTACTCATGTCTGGTTTCTCATGGAGCAATTCCAGATATACAGAGGCCATGCTAGAGCCAAGCCCATTGTCAAGTAAGACCTAAATGTATTGTCTGTTATTATTTTGATTATTAGTCAAGAAAATACATGAAAGACACTTGTTGAGTTAATGCAAGACAGAGTTGTTTCAGTTAGTTTCCGGGGACTTTATTTCATGCCATGGTTACCACTTACCAGGGTATCCGTCAAAAATTTAGTGCATAATTTCTTGAAAATGAATAAAAGCATATATTAGGAATGTGCATTATTTCTGAAATGCATCCTGGTGAGTGGTGAAACCAGTCTCTACTGACTGTACACATATGATTTCCAACTGTGTAATTTGACTGTCATATATTAATGGTCTTTCCTTCAGAATAAGTATTTGGACAACAAAAACAATTGGCTTCAAAAATCATCCATCCATTTCAAACAAAAGGTATAGAAAGCAGATAGATTATTCGTAGACTTTGCACTCCTTGTCAGCAGGGTTAGTCTTGCAGTAGTCCTCCAAGGCGTCTCCACTTCCTTCCACAGATGAACCAGGCCATTTGCTTGCTACCAGATGAGCCAAGTCAACCACACGTTGGCTGCAATTTTACCAAGTACGGTCACCGGTTAATCAAGGATATATATGTGCGCGTGTATGTGTGTGTTTAACATTAGTTGCTAATGCAAAAGATTTTTCAGGCTGGTGGTATAAGCACGGAAAAGTTTGTGCTAAGTTTACCTGTATCCCCACTCGTTATCATACCAAGCGACAACCTTGACCATGTCATCTCCCATAACCATGGTCAAAGAGGAATCAATGGTGGAGGAAACATCACTGCATCGGAAATCAACTGATACGAGTGGAACATCACAAACAGCCAATATGCCATTCAGTGGACCGTCAGCTGCCTTTCTGAAAGCTGCATTGACATCTTCAGCTGAAATTCCTTTCTTCTCAATGTTGACAACGAGGTCAACAACCGAAACATTAGGTGTTGGAACTCGGAGAGCAATGCCATTGAGCTTGCCCTTGAGCTGGGGTAGCACTAGAGAAACAGCCTTGGCTGCACCAGTGCTGGTTGGGACTATGTTCAATGCTGCAGCTCTCGCTCTCCTCAAGTCACGGTGTGAAGCATCCAGAAGCCTCTGCATACAACAAATACAATCGAACCTATTTAAGACTAATTATCGTTTGACAAGAGAGCACCATCGGAAGGTGCACATTTCACAGATTTCTATTCAATATCTCATATGATTACCTGATCTCCGGTGTAAGAGTGAGTTGTTGTCATTGTACCCTTAACAATACCTTCAAAGTGAATGGAAATAGTCAAAAATACTTCAAAACCATAGAAATTGTGAACAACGATTTCAACAGTATAATGTGACTGTGATAAGCGTGAAATATATGGCTAAAACTATCTGCTGCTTACCGAATTCTTCATCCATGACTTTGACAAAAGGAGCCAAGCAGTTAGTGGTGCAAGAGGCATTGCTGCATTTGTAAAGTACTGAAATTTTCAGATTTGGAACATTTGATGACCACCTTTTTGAACAAGTACATAATTCATTCAGTGAAGCATTGACCTTACGATATTGGCAACCTCGTGAGAGTAGTCTTGTTCATTCACTCCAACAACGTAGGTCGGAATATCAGCACCTTTTGCTGGAGCAGTGATAATAACTTTCTTGGCACCAGCTTGGATGTGCTTCCCAGCACCTGGACCATCAACGAACACACCGGTTCCCTGGAGTTTCAAACAACATAATTACATAGCTTAATTAGCACCTTTTTCTCAGGATTCAGCATCTTGTGAATGCTGGGCTCTTATTGATCAGGATTAATGTCAACACAATTCAATCCTGATTGATTTAATCTAATTAAGAAAATAAGGTGATGATGGGATTGAAGGAGATAGGTGGAAGTCATAAGCTTAGGGGAGGATATGCTGCTATGTTGCTCGGATCCTCCAAAAATGCTGCCGAAACTATGTTGGATCCTCCAAAAATGAGCAACTTTTTGAGGATATCCGAGCAACATAGATATGCAGTACTCAACTGTTATAATGAGGCATGACTTCTGATACTCTCTATGTTAATTATGTATATTAGCAGGAGATTTAGAGCTATAGACGGGTTAATGATTTCTAAAATTAGTAGGAAATATGAATAATAATTGGATGCATTACTTTTAAAATGATAACAACTTTTTCAGTTTCTTGTTTCTTCTTTGCTACCTCTCTTTTGGGTTCAAAGATGGAAACATGAAGTTACTGGGATTACCACAAATTCAGAAAACCTGTCTAAAGAACTAAGCTTTTTAATCAGAACTAAAGTAATTTATAAGTAGTTCACCTCAATAACAATGTCAATACCGAGTTCAGCCCAAGGAAGCTTAAGAGGATCCCTGCTAGAGACAACCTTGATGTGCTTTCCATCAACGCTAATGGTTTCATTATCCACTATTTTCACATCAGCCTTGAATGTTCCGAGCATGGAATCATACTTAAGCAAGTGGGATGCCTGCATTAATATAGTATTGCAGTACCTTTTAATAAAGGACTAGGAAAAATTTGATAGTAAAGCCAGGAAACTGATATTGATCAGTTTATTTATTGAAGGAAAAGAATAGACTTTGGAATAGTACTCACATTCTTGACACCGCCACTGTCATTGACGACGATGACATCCAGTGGTGAATCTTTGCGGCCATGCCAACAACGGAGGAAATTCCTGCCAATGCGTCCAAAACCATTGATAGCAACCTTCAATTTGGCAACAGTTTCTCCCTTCACAGGAGCTGATCCTGTGGTCTAATTTGGGATAGAATTAGATGAGGTCCAGAAAAACAGTTACAGAATACTACTACTCCGTTTCATTATATATGTCAGTGTTTGATTGCGCATGCAGTTTAAGGAGAAAGAATGACTTTTGGAACTTGTGGTCTTAAACATGTCAATGACATTTCTGTGGGTATAAGAATATATCAACAGCCTGTGACGTCTTAATGTTTTGCTTGGCTGTCTAAAACAGAACTGAGGACAGTATATAATTACCTTGGGAGTGAGTTGAGCAGACACAACATCAAAGAAGGACGACTCCCTGTTCGAAAATGTCACACATCCACTTGATCGAAGACCAGAGAACTCGGCTACTTCAAATTTCTACAAAAAGAAGTTAATTCAGAAAGCCTATAATTACAAAGAAATTTCCATGCACATTCATTGAAAGGAGAAAGATTTTATTTAAGTAAGACCTTGGAGAAGCATTGAGTAGGGAAAGAGTGTGAGTTCTTGGCAGGAAGCCTTGTGCTTGTGGGAATTCTTGAGGGAGCCAAAGCTGCATGAGAAGCCATGGCTGAAACTAAATGGTATTGACAAAAACTACTTAAATCCTTTGCTATATATATACACTTTTAAGTTAAGGTTTTTCTCCACCATATATCCTTTTAATATTCAAAATCAAGTCATGGTTGCAATTGAGGTTCAAGAAATGAGTGGTGTATATATCAAGATTGATAAGAGATAAGAATAAGATGATTTCCTCATGTATGTATTCATCACAATCTCAACCACAGATTGCTGGAAAATCCATTTATCTCTTTACCATAATTGTGGGAGCACATCATTTACAGTGGGAAAATGCATGACAAAGAGGTAAAGTGATAGCAACATATGGCATGTTACTACAGGAGACTACTCCAATAAGAACGGCATTTTTATATATTAAGAAACAATTACTCACATTTTACCCTTAGTGGCATGATTTTATAGCAAGAGAAATGTCATGACATAGTTATAACCACAAGTTCCGAAAGTCTTTCTTTCTTATTTAAATTCCGTCCCCAATCAAACACTTTCACATAAAATTATATGAAAGGAATCTTTTTTTTTTTGGAATTTACCTTGGCATTATTCTGGCTAACTGGAGAACTACTACAAGAATTATACCAGTGTCCATTCATTAGATGATGGGACAATTTAGAGATGGTCTTGCAGAAGGATAATTTCAGTGTAGAAGTACTGGCCTGAAAACGAAATGGCGCTCTCCGAAAAGAACCAGTGGTCCTCTATAATCCAAAGAATCACCATTTTTTCTTTTTAAAACTTGGCCAAAAGAACATTCAACTCACAATTCAATTTCACTATGGAACTTGCACGACCAAACCAAGGCAGTGAGATTAAACAGATTATAAGCATGTACATTAGAGTTGGAAGCTTGTGGTACAGAACAAAAACATAGCAGAGAATCACATTTTATTTCTCAGTTTGCATATTCATAGCAACACTAATGATATACTAAAACTGCAACCAGGAATGCTCTTAGAATATGCTCAATGTCTTCTGAAAGTTGATCTCTACATGAAACAAATAGAAGTGTTCTTATATAACAGTTTCGACTTCATCTAGGTTCACAGCAACTCCATTTTGCGTGTCTCCCGACCTCAACTGGTTGGAAATGTCATCAATAGCGTCATTCAGCTGGACAATCTTCTCCGTTAGTATCTTGCGCTGTTTCTGCAGAGAAAACAGCACCCATACATTAGAAGAACTTGAAACAGAAACAAGAATATCATTCTCTTCACAATAGGATTGATTCCAATTAGGAGAGGCAAGTTTTAGCCCTCAGTTTTTTTGTTTTTTTTTTTTGGGAGGGG